ATGCTGAGAGCAGAATTTATTCAGGCGACTTTTTCTATCATGATGGTGATTAACGTATGAAAACAACGGCTTTTTAATGCTATTCCCTAGAATAGTGTATCTCAATTATTTATGTAAAATTCTGCATTGTCACTTCTAAATCTAGGATTTTGTTTTGTAGCTCAAAACTAAATTCTCAACAATAATGAGAACAAGTTTGCTACCAGCTGTAACAGATTTTAATGTCAGTAACTGAATGGATTTTTCTTTCCCACACTGATTGCAGAACTTGACAGTACAGATGGTGCCAAAGTTTTCAGTAAGCAGCCAGGAAGAATCCAAAGAGTAGCAAGAGGTTCAGGTGTTTCTACCAGGGATGTTCAGGAGCTTTTGACCCAATACACTAAGTTTGCACAGATGGTGAAAAAGATGGGAGGCATCAAAGGGCTTTTCAAAGGTAAAAAAAAATAAAATCTGTTAACTCAGTGGGGAGGTCACTTGATGTGTGAATGCAGAGGAAATGTGAAAATGTCAATTAGGTGTTGGGAGAGGAGAAGGTGAGTTGTAGCTCACTCATTTTCATAATGTTTGAAAGCTTTTATGTAACTGGTAAGAGCTGCACTGTTCTTCATGACACTGATGTGTAACTTAGCAATGAAAACTCATGTTTTTTTGGCTTGAGTAGAAGTAGTGATGAACTTTGTACACTCTACTACAATACTGACACTTCATGCTGTTATGTGGGGCACAGGGACTGTTGATCCTTAAAATCCTTTTAAGTGGCTGATGTAGTAAGTTTTGATCATGGACTTGAATAGATTTGAATCTAAAACTGTGGAATTAGGAGATAAAATTCTGAGTTATTTTATTTTCAGCCCCATATATTAATCTATTTTCTTACAATTGCTGCTTTCATTTTTTTAGGTGGTGATATGTCAAAGAATGTAAACCCATCTCAGCTGGCGAAACTGAACCAACAGATGGCAAAGATGATGGATCCAAGAGTTCTTCATCATATGGGTACGTGTTGGCTTTTTACAGCTTCAAGAGCGGACTACCAATTACAGTGGAGCATTTGAAACGTAGAAGAGAGGAAGGTGTACATTATATGTCACTATTTTAAGTATTTTTAGGTTTACTAACAAGAATCAGAAAGTTTAGTCCCTATATTATGAATGCATTGCGCTTACCAGTGCTTAATCTAATATCTTCATTTGGATTCGGCTCTCAAAGTGAGCAACTGGAGTGGTGTCGGATGAAATAGTACAGTGATGACTTGAAGCATGACTGTGGTAAAGCAAACCTACACCTAAACTTCCCTTCTCTTCTAAGTTTTGCTTCAAATAGTTAAACTTGACAAGAGTAGCTTTCAACAAAGACTCCCATACTGGAACCGTACTAATTCTTAATGGTCACTTCTTCAAGGTTTTTTCTTTTGTCTACATCTTAATGCATAACTCATCTTAAAACCTACTTTGGTGTTTTGCAGACATTTCTGTAATTACTCGCTCAGCTGTTTGTTTTTGGTAGCCATTTAAACCTGGCTTAGCAGTCTTGGGCTTCTGTGTTTTGTATTATTATTGAAATAGTGTGTGTGCTGTATTGAGGCCTCTGAAGCGAGACAGCTGTGCTTGAGTTAACTAACACATGCATGTTCTCACTTACTCTCCGCAGGTGGCATGGCAGGATTGCAGTCAATGATGAGACAGTTTCAACAAGGTGCTGCTGGGAATATGAAGGGCATGATGGGATTCAATAATATGTAAAGAAGCCTTAATAAAAATGGACTTGGTTGACTCTTCGTTGCAACTTCAGTGCAAGAATTTGCTTTCTTCCTTTTTACAGTGATGGGGGAGTGGTCTTTTGAAAAATCTTATTCAGGCTTCTCAGTTTCTACATCTAATTTCTGAAAACTATTTTTGCTTAAATTAGTTCCTCTCCGCTAATACCTGATGGCACAAAGAGTAATTCAATTTAATAAAACAAAATCATGATGTAAAATTTTAATATTTAGAGACACTTTTTAATTGTTTACATCAAATGGCAGCCATTATATTTGTAAACAGCCCTGATCTTTGGTTATAGTAACATAAAATGTCACAAATATACTGTAAAATAAAATCTAAGTGGTTATAAAGAAGGGAATAGTCTGTTTCTTCAATTCTTTCATAACTGTTCTTTATCAGTATGTAATGAAATAATTTCCTTAGTTTGATTTGTTTCTAATGACTGTTGTAACTCATGTTTGGCGTGGATACTATAAGAAATGTGCTGTTGCTGCCCCGGTGTTCTCCTTGGAGCATTTTTAGAAGGTAGATGTTCTGTGCTC